TGTTCATCTTGTGGTCAATGATGACCCCCAAGTCTCTTTCTTCCATAGTGCTAGCCAGCATAGCACTGCTGAGCCTATAAGGATGCTGCTGGTTTTTCTTCCCGAGGTGGAGAACCTTGCAATTATCGGCGTTGAACACCATCAGATTCTCATCCACCCACTTGCTGAGTCTGTCCAGGTCAGCCTGGATCAGGCTGGATCAGCCTGGATCTTCTTTTGATTCAGTCCTTCAATTTGTTGAGGTTTCCCTGAATCCTCCAGTGTATGTACTGTTCCCCCCAGCTTGGTGTCACCTGCAAACCTTGCTGAGGGTGCACACCATCCCATCTTCCAGGTTCTTGTTGAAGATACTAAACAAAACCGGCCCCAGGGCCAACCCCTGGGGCACTCCACTTGATACTGTCTGCCAGCTAGACGTTGAACCATTGATTACTAGACTCTGAGCCTGACGATCCAGCCAGTTTTCTATCCACCTTATAGCCCATTCTTCCAACCCATACTTCCTTAGCTTGTTTGCAAGAATGTTTTGGAAGACTATATCAAAAGCCTTGCTAAAGATAAGATATATCATGTCCAATACTCTTCCTGCATCCACAGAGCCGGTCATGTCGTCATAGAAAGCAATCAGGTTGTTCAGGCATAACTTGCCCTTGGTGAATCCATGCTGACGGTTCCTAATCACCTTCTTCTCCAAGTGCTTAGAAATGAATTCCTTGAGGACCTGCTTCATGATTTTTCTGGGGACTGAGGTGAAGCTTACTGGTCTGTAGTTCCCTGAATCCTCCTTCTTCCCTTTCTTAAAGCTGGGTACTCTTTGCCCTTTTCCAATCATCTGGGACCTCTCCCAGTTGCCATGAGTTTTCAAAGATAATGGCCAGTGACTCTACAGTCACATTTGCCAATTCCCTCAGCACCCTTGGGTGCATCGTGTTAAGCCCCATGGACTTGTACATGTCCAACTTCTCTAAATGGTCCTTAATCTGTTCTTTTGCCACTGAGGGCTGCTTACTACTACCCAAACTGTTTTGCTAGGTGCAGTAATCTGGGAGCTGACCTTGCCTGTGAAGATTGAAGTGAAAAAGGCGTTGAGTTCTTCAGCCTTTTCTCTTCTAACAAAGCTAGGCATGTTCTGATCAGATCTGACTTTGACTTCTTCAGGGAGTTGGGGAGAATTTAGGGGCCCTCTCCAGCTCAACTTTGGATCTCAGCAGAGCTTAGGCAGGAGTTATCTGCCTATCTCTTCAGAATGGGTGCCTTTGTACATGGATGAAACCTTAAATTTAGGCATCTAGGGGACATGGTCCTCTAAAGTGGAGGCACTGAATGAGTTCATTAGCTTCCATAGTTAGGTAGTTGCTGGGCAAGGGATTCCCAGGAATTTAAAATCTACCTAAACCTTGTTTTAGGCATCTGAATCTCTGGATTTCAGTGTTAATGACTTTTATAATTTGAGAAAATTCTGACTTAAATTACTGGCACATGGGAACTTTGAAATATTTTGTCTAGAAACAAATTTGGTGGACCTGATTATCTTCTAATAGAGACCATTCAAATTAGGTGTAACACCACTGAATTTGGGAAAAATGGTTTCCATAGATGTGTGTATTTATTGTCTGCTCTTAAAAATATTTAGGAATGTCTGCAGTGAATCAGGACTTAGGACCAGATATTCAGTTTAGTGTAAATCATTGCACTCAGTTTAAATGGGGCTATGCCAGTTTAAGTCATCTGCTGCCAATGTACCATTATGCACCTGAAATATATAAAAATATGTCTGTGTGTATATACATACACACAAGCACACCCCAGATGTAGATCAAAATGCCATTTGTAACACTGTGTAGTCTCTCTCATATGCACACATACCACACATTTCCATGACACCTTGTTACTGTGGAAGTGATCGTACAGTGTTACAACAGGATTTCGATTTCATGTATGGAAGAGCAGAACAGAAATTGCCCTCTGATTTGTGTGTCATTTCATCAAATAGATTAGATCTGTCTTCTTTTCAACACTCCCAATTCATGTCTTTGTACTTCTCACTGCCTCAATGATGTAATGCTAAGCACGCTTCATACATTTGGTAGAATGCATACGTGAGTAAAATTTTTCTGTAAATAGTCTGATGACAAGGTCCTCACATTCTGAGGCCATGTTTCTAGAAATAATACAAACACATAGTGTATATTTCAATACATACCTTTCACTGGAAGGCTTTAATATTAGGCCTGTCAGTGAACCATGGCTCTAAGAAACTAATCCTGCAAAAGGTCACACACATACTTATCTTTACATGAGTAATTCCATTGAGTGACTGGAGGATCAGATTTTAAGTGCATGCAGTCTCTTGACTATCAGATGAAGTCAGGCCTCTACACATTTAGTATGTGTGCTTTTAGGGCAGCAATAAAGGGCATCCTACATTATGATGTTCCTTCTGTCCCAATCCACTATGACTTCCTATTAGAGGTGCATCGATACATCAGTCTGATATCAGCTGGGCAGACCTGCCCATACCCCCTCCCTCTCTCACTGTGGGGGGTGTTGATCTGTCCCCTCCCCATGCCCTTTCTCTTCCCCTTCCCGTTCCCCCACAACAGACTTACCAGTTGCACTCAGCTGTATCAGAAATCAGAGCGATATTGGCCAATATGCCTCCTTAAATACTGGCTATTGGTATCGGCCCCCAAAATCTCTGTCAGTGCACCCATACTTCTTATGTCTTGGATCAGAAGAATGCTTCTAATACCTCTAATCCTAGCTACGCACACAGCTCTCTGCCCCCCACACCACCATGTGGTTGTCTCTTTTAATGATATATTTTGATTACAAATATTTAAATGTAATTGGAAGCTAGTAGTGTTCAGTGGATTGCACCTATGCAGAAAAAAGTGACTCATGCTTTCTAATTCCAAATAGTGAAAACGTTTTATGTCATGTTACTATCAACATTACTATCCTATATGACTATTAATGTTAACCTAACTTCTACACTTTTCAGTTGAAGTGTAGTAATTACTCTACAATAAGAGGCTGTATAGTGGAATAATTATACTTATTGTTTAGGTCGAAGTGAATGTTTTTCCTGAACTTAGGGAATCTATCAGGCTAAACCTGCTGTTTGTCTACTGTATATTGAAATAATTAGAGATTTCTTTTTTACTTCACCACAGTGTTTCCTTATAAACTTGACAATAAAATGTCACATCTTCACATCCTTGAGTCATTGTTCCATAATTAATGCCAGTTTTAGATGTCCACAAAATGCTGCTATTAAAGTGGTTTTAAATACTACCAGATCAGAATTCAGATTTGAAAAATGGAATGCTAGAATTCCTTTCAGCATAGACTGTTACTTTCACAAGCTGTGATTGTACAGAGAAATTCTACAATTGCCTGTATCCTCCTTTTTATGTAGGATTACCGTGATACTATTGAAAGCCTTCCAGAAGATGATAAACCTGATTTTTTTGGCCTGCCTGCCAATATTGCACGCTCATCTCAACGCATGATCAGTTCCCAGGTAAGGTGTTTTGTTTGATTTGTTTTTTTTAAATGCTACAGTGCTTGGTAGCTAAGAAATCTTAGTACTTACCAACAGAGACCACATATCTATTCATAAATATGGTTTAAAAAATAAAATTAGGCAAGATTGGCACATATTCAGTTCCTCTTTCCTGTCAAATATTGAATGTTTCTGTGTAATGTCTGCTAGAATTTCTGAATGGAAGAAGAAATTACAAAAGCATCTCTGTAATTAGTTGTTTTTTATCAATGATATAAATGTTACTCTGAGTTATTGCAAGTACTCTTCCAACATCTTATGTTTCCAAGTTTGTTGTGCTGTGGGAATTTTTTTTGATTTATTAAAAATTGAATCATTTCCTTATATTTCCATTATTGTAAACATGCCATTTGCTGAGAGCAAGTAACATCTGGTGATGGACATCTAATGTTTCAGGTTTTCTGTAGTCTATATTTCCCACAATTATATGAGGTGTACAGTCTGTTCCCTACTTTCCAGCTATTCTAGGCCCCCTCTATACATTACACGTGTTGTGCAATTAACTGGTTAATTGCACAACTGCGTTGAGAATAGCTACATGTGCAGAGTACCTATCATGCCATAAAAAGCTCCATCGAGCTATAAAGTAAGACCTTAAAAATGTGTTTTAACTTTATAGCTGGTTGCTATCAAGCTTTAGTTTGCACATGTAGTAGAGTCTCACTTATGGCTGGGAGCCCCCTCAGCTGATGAGGTTCCCAACTGCATTGGTGCACCATGTCTAGCTGGGGCTGGGAGTCCTGCAACTAAGGGGACTTAGCCCTAGCAGCTGCAGATGCTGGGTCTTAGCACTATGTCTCCTGGTACCAGGACCCAGCTGGGTTTCATGCACCCCTCAGGCTGGGAGATCATATCAGCCATGATGTGGCATGGCAGAAGGCATGATTGTGTGGATCACACATAAGATTCCATTGTGCCTTTACCTGTGTGGGGAGAGGGGCCCTGACACAATTCTGGGAGGTATAGCTTATTACCTATCTTTTGGCTATTTTAGAAGCAGCAGTTCAGCATGCCCAGTTCTGACCACACCATAGTTTGCCACTAACACTTCTGCCTATTGGTAATTTGCTTTGCTTTCTGCCATTTCGTTTGCCAACTTTACTTTTATTAAAGTTGTGGGCAATAGCAAGTAATTTATAATATTTCTTCTTTCTGGCCAGTCTCGGTCTCTTTTGAATCTTCCACTAATTTCAGCCACCCAATTCTGCTGGAGCAGCATTTGCTGTCCAAGATTCCTGTACCCCTGCTTAGACAATAAAAGAGCTATTCCTTAAACACTGGGGTAAATCCTAAGTAGTGTTCTCCATGTGAGTAAGTGTAATGGTGTTCTCTCCAAGGGTGGCCATAAAGCCCCTGGAGTCCGCTTAGCCCTTATCCACTTTGCTCTCGTTGGACAGTCACCCCTTCATTCACTTGCCGTACCTTACTGTATCTCTCTTCAGATAAGGGAGGTGTCCCAGGGTTTCCCAAACCTGATATCCTTCTCATGACCACCAGGTGCCCATGGTCATTGCCTTAAGGCCTAATTGCATGGCTCCATCTGCCCCTAGACCATCCCCAAGCCTTGCAGTGTTATCACTCAGTGGTACTTATTCAACATTCTCAATCCCCTTGTTGGGCTCCTGGACCATCTGGTCCTACACTCAGGCCCTTCTCTGGGCCCCTGGACCCTCTGGTCCCACTCTCGACCCCCCCCCCCCCCCCCCCCCACGCCCCACTCCCACTGGACACCTGGACCCCCTAGTCCTGCTTTCAGCCCTTCCCTCTCCCCGCCGCCTCCGGGCTCCTGGACCCTCTGATTCCATTCTTGGTCCCCCCACTGGGCCTCTTGTCCCTCTGGACTGGCTTTCCCATTTGGCCCTTTTCTCAGGCCCCTACCTTGCCACCCAGGCCTCTCTTTACCAAGGCCTGCCTCCCCAGGCTTATGGCTTCACCTGCCCATTCTCAGGCCTATTTCTCCCAAGGCCTGTGTGGCTCTCGGTCTTTGTCCTGCTTACCCTGGCTCAGCTGTCCCCCTGCCTGTCCACTGCCTCCTGCAAGCAGCCCGGGCTCTGTGGCCGGTGGTAGTTGCATGCACGCCTTGGGATGCATGGCAAGGAAGGGCCCCAGGCAGTGCAGCCCTGGCCCTTCCTCCACCATCCTAGAGATGCACATGCATCCACCGCCAGCAACATGGATCGGGTCCCTCGTGGTTCTCCCACCATCTGCCTCTGGCATAATTCGAGATTGTGGTGTTTTTCTCACTCTGGCCAAAAATGTTGCCAACCCCTGTCCTATACTGAGATGAGGGAGAGTTTTCTCTGTAAGCATGACAAGACTGAAAACCAGCATTTTTTTGGTTTTTGTTCTTTTGTTTTTCTTCTCTTTCCAGATTTGACACTAAGAAAATGGTTTTTACCATACAGATCTAAATAGATGGTATAATAGATAAGAAGCTCATGGGCAAATGCCTGCCAGGAAAATACAGGCCTGAGACAGATATTCTGTTGTTTGTTCTTTTGAAGATGTAGTGAGGGATGAATGCAAATACTATGACAAGAGAAAGCATATAAACAGGCAAGCATGTAGCTACTCTAAGATGCAAGAGCGAAAGAATATCATGACAGATACCAAAAAGCATATGCCAGTAATATCAACGGAAATTTCTGTTTTATACACAAGGGTCTTTTTCTCAAAATACAATTGACAGAGGAGTGGGGGCTGTTGCAAGGGGGGATTTAGAGATTTTTCTAAGCCATTCTCAGAATGTCTGTGATCACAACTTGTTTTGAAAATTTGCAAGATCTGTGAGATTTTCAGCCAAGGCTATAGCATCCAGTTCAGCAGTCAGGTGCCACAGGTAGCTGGCCTTCTAGACTGTGCACAGTGACTTCATAGAATCATAGAAAATGAGGGTTGAAAGGGACCTCAGAAGGTCATCTAGTCCAACCTTCTCCTCAAAGCAGAACCATCCCCAAATAGATCATTCGAGCCAGGGCTGTCAAGCCAGGCCTTTAAAACCTCCAAGGATGGAGATTCCACCACACCTCTGGGTAACTTGTTCCAGTGCTTCACCACTCTCCTAATGACAGAGTTTTTCCTATTATCCAACCTAAACCTCCCTTGCTACTACTTAAGACCATTGCACCTTGTTCTGTCATCTGTCACCACTGAGAACAGTGTAGCTCCATCCTCCTTAGAACCACCCTTCAGGTAGTTAAAGGCTTCTATCAAATCCCCCCTCAGTCTTCTCCAAACTAAATAAACCCAGTTCCCTTAGCCGCAAAACTGGACACAGTTCTCTAGATGTGGCCTCACCAGTGCTGAATAGAATGGTATAATTACTTCCCTTGATCTGCTGGCAACACTCCTACTAATGCAGCCTAGTATACCATTACCCTTCTTGGCAACAAGGGTACACTTCTGACTCATAGCCAGCTTATTGTGACCCCCAGGTCCACTGTAACCCCCCGGGTCCTTTACTGCAAAGCTGCTGCTTAGCCAGTCAGTCCCCAGGCTGCAGCGGTGCATGGGATTTTTCTGTCCTAAGTGCAGGATTTTGCACTTGACCTTGTTGAACCTCAGGAGATTTCTTTTGGCCCAATCCTCCAATTTGTCTAGGTCACTCTGAACTCGCTCACACTTCAAGTAAATCATGTAAGCACCCAAATTTACAAGATGTGTATTTGTAGAAAAATTGGTAGGTGACCATTATGGCAGGTGCAGAAAACCCCCACCCATTTTATCAGATTTATCATCTGCTTGTGACAGTTGACAATAAGATATTGTTAATGAACCTGTAATTCCCATCAGGGCTAGCAGGTTTTCCAGGATAACTCCTTTTTTCCAGGGAATCTAGAGTAGGTATAGAATATTATAGCATGTGGATGATAATTAGCACCATGTTGTGGTTTGTTGGACCAGTTTGCTGCAGTGATTGTGTATTTGTATTTCTAGCTGAGTTGAGCTTTAATGATGGGTCCAAGTAGCTGGATGGAAAGGAAGAAGTGCTGGTATGCAGGGAGAAATTAATTAATGAATTAACCCTCCTTGTGTTCATTCAGATTTGTTGTTTGTAATTTCTGCTAACCTTCATCTCAAAGACCAAGTTTGTTTCAACTTGCAAGTGGAATCTGTTCAGCAGTGTCAACAAAATCATTAGGAGCAATCTTTATCCCTTAGTTTGTATTTTCATTGCTTTTTGTAATAGTTTCAACAAATCTGGATGACAAGTTACACATTGAAATGACAAAACACTCTAAACCTTCAACAACACATGCCCACAGAGTATATGTATGATTTAATCGATAATTAGCATTAGTCTTTGTGATTATTGTTGGTAACAATGGTGGATGGTACAAAAATTGGTAGAAAGATAAATGATGAATTGGCTGGGCAGGTAAGTTGGGCTCAGTTCAGTGTCTGTCTCCTGTGCACTGTGCAAAGTACACTGGCACCCTGTTCTCAGTTAATCCCTGTGAAATACCATCTTACTTGTAATAACTGTGTTTCGATACAGCTAAGTGCAGTATGGTTTATCTAGGAACTTAGAACATAAGTTCAAAAGTAATCAAAACCAGTGATATGAAAAAGGACTTAACATCAGAGAGGGGAAAAGAACGTTAAATGTAGTTTCCCAGTGTAGTGTTAGTGCCAGTAAAACCAAGTTGGTTCTTTGGCATAATTAGCAGAGAAATAAGGTATCTGTAAGATGATACATATATGGAATTAGTAAAACTACTTCTGAAATATTGTGACCAGTTTGGGTGTCAATTTAACAAGTGACACCCAAACAATTTAACAAGGGAACTGACAAATTTGAAAGGATTCAGAAAAGCGCTACATGAATGATAAGAGTTCTGGAAAATCTGCCTTAGAGTAGATGACTGTGATGCACTCTAGAATGCACTCCCACCTTCAGGGGTATCTTTAAGTCCCAACTTTCTTTTTGCCATCTGTTGTTTGACTATTAAAAACAA